TGGAGAAAACCTTCCCTGATTCATTTTTATACCTAAATTTCACATTTCATAACTCCTGCTAGAAGCAACTTGGGCCCGAACTAACTTAGGGTATATCACTCCTAGCTATGCCCGATCTAACAATCATATCCCCGACTGAAAAGCTTTTTGACACCTCGGATGGTTCCCTCGTCAGAGAGTGGAACTGTGAGAAAAATTTGCTCTTTTGAAAAATCTGGTCACTCTCCCCACTCAATCAAGCTAATTTCAATTTAGTAGATTCTGTAGCGTATAAATCAAAATAATTTGGTTCGAACGGAAATGTCGCCAAGCATCACCATAATGATATTTATCAGCTTGTTGTTACTGTCGAGCATTGGATGCCAGAATACAACAAGCACGACCCAGGCTACTACTTCCGCAAAAACAACGACCCCTGTTTCCAAAAACACTGCAATCACTACTACGACGAAAACTACCAATCAGGGGCAACTTCTGTTCATCAACCCTACTGCAGTATTCGGTGGGATAGTGATGTCGCTTCTCGTTACTCGTAAGACATGACGAATCAATACAACAACTGTACTCTGACAGTTTTTTCTCATACTCCTCCCTCTAATTGTTCTTCTCCTTAAATTGATCGACTTCTTTCTTGTCCCCAGAACAATTTATATTCTCTTTGATCTTATATCATTTATTCCAGTTGAAAATTTCAAATAAACATTCACTACAATAATCATCAGCCACACTGAACTTCACTCAATCTCCATTCTGTTTTCTTCGCCTATCATCAATTTGTTTGTTCATCCATTCCCGATCGAATGTCACCTTTGTAAGATGCGTGCAATTCAAAATTAGAGCAACTTTTTTTCGCGATGTTTATGCATGGTTGAAATGAGTGCAAAGTCTTACTTAGGAAAAACTTGTTCTTTAGTTTAAAAAATATTTTTTGACAAAAAATGTTTCAGCAATAAAATTTCCCAAAACACCTTTTTTTGCTGTTTTTATGCGGCAAATCGAGATTTGAAATCTTTTTTCGTTCTTTTGAATTTCTGACGGTGCTTTTCTCTGATGTACCACATGAATTTGTGTATAAAAATGTATGTTTAGCACGATTCAAATATAGCTTGGTGCAGTGTCCGACTCGGATCGCGTATGGTCACAAAAAAAATAGTTGACCTCAGGTCAGGTCGAGGCGAGACGAGGTACGAAAAACTTTTTTGGACTTCGCGATGAAGCTGCAGTCTGAATATTATACCGATAAAAAAGGCGCTTGGAATAGTTGTTCAATTGAAAGTTCTGCAAGAAAATGTGGAAAAGCGTAGTCGACCAAGAAGTTATGATTGCATGGCCTTTTCTTCTACACCACCGACTATTTTTATTAATCTTGGAAAACGATTGGTCGCGAGAGCAGTGCCTGTTCAACGATTATATAAAGATCGCAGCTTATATACGTAAAGCATGAAAGACAAACAAGAAAACATTCTATCACATAATTGTACTGTCTCACCTGTGGAATATCGGTCAAATGTCCGGGACGAAAAGAGATAGGTGTGGGGTGTGAGTGTTGTCTTCACTCCCATACCCACACTCATACTTACACTCAAATACAGACCCACACCCACACACCGCCTTATCACACCTCTACATTCACCACCCTCTCGCCCTCAACAACGAAATAAAAATTGCTACCGGAGCAAAGCATCAGCGAAATGAATGTTGACCATGAGAGTACATTGGTACTTTAAAAGCTATTTTGTTGATAATCGGAGAACTCATTAAAGAAAAGCGATCAATGAAATGCATTTTCTTCAGTTACCGACGGCCCATGTTCTAATTACTTATTTCGTCTGTTCAATGTTTCAAGAATACCAAAATAAACTATAATGAAATACGCAGTGTAAAGCGACTCTTCTTCCATAAAACGGCCGTGGATAAATATCGTTCTTTGAGGAATCCTACTTTCGACTAGTAGTTCAAATAGTGCTGAACAAGTTTTTGATCGATGGCTGGGCAGTGGCTGAGCGTAGCTGTTCTGCAACTTGTTTTTTCCATCGTAAACTTAGCGAGGTCTAATGTTTTACCTTTATCAAATACTTTTTCGAAGAAGTCCATCAACGTATAGGCTGAGCTCTTTGGATTGGCCTGCAGTACTCGCAGTTAAGTTTTGATAGGTACTATGGTAAAGAGAAGACCGGCTAATTTCAGGTATTCAAGAAGCTGTGACCAGCGAATCGCATGTGAATTTAGAATGTGATGTACACGTTCGGATAGTGGTGCCGTTCTCATGCTTGCATCCATAACAATGTCAACAACGCTGTTCGCAGCATAACTTACAGGTATCCAATCAATCGTCTGGCATTCGTCAGGCAGGACACCCAAATCTCCGCCACCTGCACATATCATTAATGGAATCATCTCGGTCGTGCTCCATGCGCCAGTTTTGCTATTACCAGAAATCTAACCTAGTCGATAAATGTCGACAGGTACGCCTAAATTCATGAGACAAAGAAAAAATCAAATTGTTGACACATCATTGATCTTTGTATGGGTTTAGAGGAAGAAATATCACTTCGAATTGCACAATGATGGCCAGAGTTAGATTCACTCACAACAAAGGTCCATAGCTGCCCAACACATGTGTTCTTCAGCATATTTTGATTGACCATAGCCTTGAGCAAGAGCAATTTCCACTCGGCGCGGCAATGGTTCTTCTTGAATTTCACTGAGCAATCCACAGCCGGCAGAGCTTATACTTGAAATAAAGTGAAAACGCATTGGAAATTGTATCGACGCACTTGATGCTAATCTAAGCAATTGATAGAGACCTTGCAAGCATTCTCGATCGAAGTCCTTGATAGTCATATTGAAATCCATTTTCCAAGCTGCGTGAATAATATCCGTGACTTCGTCCCGCAACCGATCGTACATGTTTTCTGTTTGACCTAGTCTGTCATCATTAAGGTTCATTGGCAGAATGATAATACGCGTCGTGTCAAGTAGCACTGTTGAATCTTGAGCTCGGGCTTCCATAGCACGGCGAAGTCGATCTGTAGCATTATCACCACGCACTAGACAATAAATTCGACTAATTGTAAGTCGATGTATCAATTGCAACAATATGTGACTGCCAAGCGAGCCGTTTGCACCCGTACTTAACACAACTCGATTGTCTTGTATATTGTTGTCTCCATGATTTAAAAACATCATAGAAGTCTTAGTTCTCTGATTAGGATGATCTTTCATTAGATTGATATATTTGTCAATTATGTCCTCTGTTTCTTTGTAGTGTTGAGGATCATTTGATGTTTGAACTTGATCTCTATTGACAATGCGCAAGAGTTCATTGGCAAGCAGAGCCTAAAACAGGCCATGGGGCCTGCCTGCCTGCCTGGGCCTGCCTGTGGCAGGCAGGCTCAGGCCATGATTTTCAAGCCTGGTACAGGCCAGGCAGGCCAGGCCAAAATCTCACACAGGCCAGGCAGGCCGCTTGAAATGGGCAGGCCGCCTGTCT